GATGCAAGTTGAACTCCGCTGTAAGTACCAACACGCCCTCTGCTCTCACGCCACAGCTTACTGCACAGGGGGCAGGAACCCCTGCAGCCACCTGGATAGAACCGGCAGCTCCGCTGTATCGCCTGCAGGGTCCGGAGTATTCTGGATCACTGAGCTCTCAGGTTCCACAGACCGTTAATTCATCAATTTGCTGCATAACTAACACTGCTAACCTAAGGGAACTAAGCCTTGGGTGAAGCTGAGGGTTTATTTTGAGTTATCGGCCGGGGAGCTGCACGAGAGAAACCTCCTGGATCGACTGCTCACACAGGGACTAAAGCCGGGAGACTCCCAGATGAACCCGATTTCGGAGAGATCTGGGATCTCCAGTCCTGGTCCCGGTCCCGGAGGGGGTGTCTTTTTAAAAGCAGCAGATCCTGAAGGGCTGGGAGTTGCCAACTGACTCGACGTTGAACCTGAAACACAGCCTGTTTCCATTAGAGTTTATAGCGCCAGGGACAGGAACAACCACGGTAGATTCTACCCTCATAAGGTGAAGCTCAACCCGATATCGAAGGGCATCCAATATTACATGGGTATCTGACCACACTGGGATGGATCTCTAGGGAAGGCACGTCTGTCCTGTCTCTCTTTCTACAGCCCCAAACTCCATATAGACCGGAGGCCGTATATATGATTCCTGTAGTTGTATCTTACCTAAGCTTCAACTAGGTCTGCCATTCCCAGAATAAACAAACAAAAAAAAACTACAGAAAAAACCTGATCACAGCAGAGCCGAGAGGAAGTGTTGCCGGGGGGAACTAAATCAACGTCGCGCACAGGCGACAAACCCCCCCTTGCCAAAGAGAAGTTACAGACAAGGTGTGCGTCGGCGATGTATGCCCCCCCCGAAACACACAGAACCAAACCGCCGGGTGACGCAGGGGCTGGCTGAGGGTTCGAAGCTGCTCTGGAATCCTGGGATCCGCAATCCTGGTTTTGACCGTCGGTGCACCAAATCCTGAGCAGCTGGGGGGAGCCGTTAAAACCGGTCCCATAATTAAAGCGAATAATAATAATAATAATAATAATTGCTTACACTTATATAGCGCTTTTCTGGACACTCCACTCAAAGTGCTTTACAGGCAATGGGGATCCCCTCC